GCCATATTTTTGACTTGCTCAAAGTCTATCGCCTCTTCGCCAATCAGGAAGGAGAAAAAGCGAACCTAAGGAGATGTTTGATTATTGACAGGACTTTTAAACTAATTCTATGTTTAAAAAACATCTTTTTAAGAAAATCAAAATATGTAAGTGACCTAATGGAAACTAAATATTGAGTTCTTGAAGCAGCGCTGAACGAAACAATTGCTAACGGCACTTTTTGTTCTCTACCTCCACTCATTTTCTTGACCTCTGGTATTCCTACCAGTATTTTTCTCCCAAAATCAAGTACCGTTAGTGCTCTAGACAAGCTCTGAACGATAGCTTAATCCTACTTTTAATTGAACAAAAGTTCTCGACTTTTACTTTCTTGCAAAAAAGCTTGCTTTAATCCAGCTGAAAACACTTTGCTGGATTTATTTGAAGCCTAGCATATCTGATTTATATTGTTTTAAATTAATGGTCAGCTTGGAAAAATGGAAATAAGCCAGATTAAGACAACTATTATTACTACTTCAACATCAGCACACCACCGAAGACGTAGTACCCGCTCCACTGTTTGATCGTCCACAAGTTCTTCATTTTCAAATTTTTAAATGCAAGAGTTATCTAACTTTATACCGTAATCCTAATTCAATGGTCAGCAGTAAGAAATCTGCTCACAAGGAATCAAAATTTCAAATTAACCCTTTAAGTAGAAGAACTATTGAAGTAAAAAAAGAATTTAGAAGGCCATTATTGGACGCTGGATACATCTTTTTGGGATCCTTCTATTTCTTTCTTCTCAAAAATCAATAAGATATGAAAATGACAAAAATCAAGCAATGCTAACCTTTTTATCCTTGTTATACAGATTGAATATCTCCTTGTAATTATTTGGCGCACCATCAGTGATCAGCATAATAACATTTTCACAACCTTGGACGGAGCGACCTTTGTATGAGGTAATCTGAAAAGATTTCGCCTCAGAATTCAGGCAAAACTACAGTTTTCTCATGGATTCCACACCATTCCAGTGCGTTATGTGCTTTTTATCTGGAAAGTGGTGACAAATGGATAGGAAAGACACGACAGAGGTACAGACGACATTGACGAAGAAACATGCATTGGAGTGAATATAAATGGAACATAGTGGATGTCACAATAGGTTATCTAAGTGCTAGCTTTTAGAAGTTACTTTAATATCAGACATATTAGGAAAAAATTGCAGGTGGGGCAAAGCACATTCAATAATAATTTGGAAAAATTTGTATCCCGCAGCTCCACCATAATTAACGCAGGGCGACATGTCATGCATAGCTTAGTAGGTTCTTACTGTATGTTACGGTAAAATTAGCGCCTCGATTTGCACCATTTGCGGACTTTTCACAATATTTTAAAGGTAATTATAGTGGTAAAAAAAGGCATAATGGGAAGTTACAATTTCTCATAGTTCTAATTGTTATGCACTGAACAAACCTCAGATTTAGGGGGAAAATTGGTCCCCTAGCATTTTTTCAATTTTTTAACGCTTTTCTTTATAATTATAGAGAGAGCATAACATTATTTGGAAAAACAAATTATTTTCTACGTTATTTCTACGTTCATCCAAGCAATTTCGTTTATATCCTTCTACCTTCAAAGTTAGTATACAGGCTACCTGAGATTAGTTGGTACTAAAAACTGAATCTCCTCATCTTCTTAACTATTGTTATCCATATGCTACAGTATCACCATGCAATTACCATAATTCCTTGGTTTATGGAACCCAGAGCTTAACTCACCTGAAATGTTCAATTTTGAACAGCAAGAGAATGCTTGCTAACAGAAGCGCTCAATATGATGTCTAAACATATTTCAGAACATTTCCAAATCTGCTTTACTCATCCACAAAACGCTCCTTAGAAGGTTATTTAAAAGTTTTTGTGGTAAAATGGTTACCACATGGTTATACCAGCCGATTGCCTTCCGACACCCTCAACTCCGAATATAGTTTAACTTGCTTGAGGTTGAATTGAGACTAATCCGATAGATCACTATTCATACATTATTTTTATTTATGAAGACTCAAAATTGTTTCATAGAACCATTCCCCAAGTTTGGACCGCATTCTGAGACGCATCAGTGTACTTTTTGTTGAGAATGGCCACCCAAGTGGAAAGCGTTTGTTTGCAAGTGTAAGTCAAGGCGAAACTCTTGCTTTTCCACGCATGACTTCATTCCCTTGGGCTAAGTGAAGTTTTGGATGGACAGGCACTTTATGACTATTTTTAACAAAAGATTCCATTCATCTCAATTTTGAAGACGACTGCACTTTTCAATTTTAGTTCCCTTGTTTCTGAGTTAAAAAATGCTCAGGATAAAATTGATGTTACGCACATTTTACGGGCAAATCAAAAAAAGCTGCT